GAGTGTTCCCAAAATGAGCCACAACAGCAACCACACGATAATCAACCCTATGCAGTTCAGTAGGACATTCACCGGCCGGAAGCTGCAGAGTGAGTTCAGGCATCGCTACAGGAACAGACTGCTTAGTAACACGGCCCTCACTGTCAACACTGAAACGACGCACTTGGAACATGATGCACCTCGGAATCTCACTAAGGCCTCTCACCAGATGATCATGCTCCCACGCAGCAATTGCATCCTGCAGAATGCACTCCGGCGGAATGGGGTCCAAAATGACTGGAGCAAGTGTGCTGCCCCTTTCCTTCAGAGAGCGCGGCGCTCCCGGATCCCAAGCGCACCAGAAGCCTGTGTAGGCACGCGGAGCAGCCTTGCGCAGCAGGTACATTGCAAACTCTGGCACATCATGCTGCAGCGACGGGTTTGGCCAAGCTTGGACAAACATGCGCCACATGAACAAGTCCATGAGTGCAAAGGTGCCACCTTGAAGCAACGGCTTGACGGAAGTCAGAAGTCCCCCGAAGAGTTCAACCTGTGTGCCAACAGGATGCGTGGCTACCCAAAGCATGGCAATGATCAAAGAGTTCATATAACAGTGATTGCCAGCATTGCGCAGTTGCAGCCGGAGCACAAACTCTTGAGGCACGACTCCAGCTGTTTCGCCAGCTGGGAGCGTTGAAGCCGCTCGGGGCGGAGGCGAATGTTCAAGACCCGCCACACTGCACTCTCGGAGAGCTCCGTTAAGATGGCATGCAGATTGTTGGCTGCATCGCCTCTCAAGGACACCTGTAGGAGAAACACCGTCTGCGGGGACTTCGGCTCCTCGCTCAAGGGCCGGGTCGCGTGAAACCGGTGCAGGAGGCCTTCGGTTCGACACAAGGCTGTCGCCTCCTGGATTTTCTCTTCCACCACTGCCATCTCCAATGGCAGCTTCTTGGGGTGCAGGATCACTTTGGCCGTGACCGGGTCCCAGCTCTGGAACTGCCACTTGTGCAGAGCACCGTCCTTGACCAGCCACTGGTTGGTGACCGCCGTGTCGATCGCTTCCTGCTTGCTCCGGAGCAGCTTGAGGCGATTGCCAAGCTCGGTCAAGAGAGCCTCCAACAGCACAACCCGAAGAGGGGCTGTGGTCTGCGAAGGATCCGTGTCGCGCTGGGTCTTCCAAGCCTGGGAGATCCGAAAGAGAGCCTGGAGGATGCAACCCTCGCCCTGAATCGGGTCCACAAACAAGCAAAAGGCTTTGTCTAGCCGCAACAGCTGGAGCTCGTCTTCTTGTCTGAGCATCATGCGAAGCACAAGTGGCACGATCACTGAGAGATTCAGCTGCTGATTGGCTTGCGGATTCCAGCCCCAGCCCTGTTGGTTCAGCTGTGCCCCCTGCCGCTTTTGGCCACGCTGTTGGCGGCCGTTGCCCTGCCCTTTGCCGGCCGGGTTTGTGAGCCTTCGTTGCTTGTTCGGCTGGTTCGTCTGGGGCTGCCCGCTGCTCGGAGCCGCCAACAGAGTCGGGGAGGCGCTGGGGAGAAGGTGCTGCCAAAAGCCTACCTGCTGCGTCACCGGGTCCTCCAGAATCTCCGCCATGCTCCTGAAAGAGATGCACAAGAAATTTAGCACCAAACATGACAGGGCACGCTTCGGCATGACGAATGGGCTGGTCAATGGTCTGGGCGCAGTACTGACACGGGTGCCCAGAACGTCCGAAAAAGCGAGACTTCTCCGCTTTGCACTCGGCCCGGATACGGCTGATAGCGGCTTTGTGCTCTTTGTGCTTTGCAGACATGTGCTTTTTGCAGTTACCGTTCCCAGCCACAGCCCAAAGAAAGCAAACAGGACAGTGATTCGGCAGTTTTTCCTTAGCAAAAGGAACATGCATGACCGCTTCCCAGCCCTGGTGCACCGCAGTCACTATATCGGGCTCACAGAAGAAACGCAGGTGCGATAGCGCCGGTGGGACTCCACCTGGATGAAGGTTAACCGTCGGCTGGAGTGCAGTCTGAACTGTACATGCAATGGATGGCTCTGACACAGTAAGCTGAGGCACGACAGATAAAGTGGTATCTGAGGAAGGGGCCGCCTCCCGATCAGACGTAGCAGCCACAGCACTACCATCTGCAAGGGGCCTAGAGGTCACAGGGACAGGAACAGCAAAGGAGGCCTAGACGTCTCAGGCACTGGTCCTGCGGTGTGTGCAGCAGCGACGGGAGCAGACACGGATGCCGACACAGGGAGGGCAAGCTCATCCCTGGCAGGTTGCACAGCAGCTTCAGGCAGCACTGCGGACTTGGGCAGAGACTCAAGACGCGCCTTCCGAAGCACAGGGCATCCCAGGCCTTGGACATGTCGGGTTAACTGGGGCCAGCCCGAAAGTTTGACCAAGCAATGCTTACACTGAGGCATGCCGTCTAAAGCATGTGCGTAGACATCAATCCGCTCATCGACAGGCAAGGGGTCTGCTCCTTTGTGCGTGCGTCTGTGATTCAGCATGGATGTGAGCCCAGGAAAATAAAGACCGCACACGTCACAAGCAACGCCTGTGGTGGTACATGGCAGCTCAACCAGGCGAGCAGAGGCATCCTCCCGCACAGGAGGAACGTGATCAGTCGTCGAGTGTGGCTGCTGGTGCTGATGTGTACGCTTCCCTTGTTGGTGTTGCAGCTGAGCCCACTGATTGTGAAGATCATGGAGCACATGTCTCCGCCACCCCTCAAGGCACTGATGAAGAGAGCTCGGGCAGGCTGTGTCCAGGCGTATGCTGTCTAGGCGTTTCTGTTGCGCGGCAAGCAGCCAATCCCCGGGTTGTGTGATATGGTGCTGTGTGAAGAGCTCCAAGTTGCTATTATGCACGACATGAGCAGGCTGCCGTGTAATGAGTCGGATCTGCTTGGCCACAAGCCCCGTAAGGAGCTCCAGGCCTCCGGGGGGAAGTCCAGAGGAGAGCAAAGCATATCGAAGCGTGCTCCAGACATATACCTGCCATAAGTTCAGTCTGGTCTTCAAGCGGAGCTTACGATTCCGAACGGTGGTCCAGAGCCTGGCAAAAGCCGTCTTGGCACACTGCATCCGCCTAGCTAACGTGAGTTTCTCGTGTGAGCGGTAAGACAGAACGGCCCCCAAGTAGACATGCTGACTTTTGAGCGGCACGAGAGCTGTACCATCACAAACCGGTAGCGCCCAGCCTCCATCGTCTGGGTTGCGGATCCTGGAACGAGAAAGGTGCCGTTGCGCCTGCCAGCCATGCGACGCAAAGACAAAGGCAGATTTGGCAAAGTTGGGAGTCATGCCCATGTCTTGCAGGGCCTTAAATACCAGCGCCATGCGATGCAGCGCGAGCTGCAGCTCTGTCAAGTCACAGAAGACTTCACGAAAAAGAAGATCGTCAGAGAAAGCCGTGGCCCGTCGCATGACCCACTCATTGTCAGTCATCTGTGCAATGCGATGCAGCAGGGCCTTGGCATACACCAACCACAGCGTTGGTGCAAGGGTGCACCCTTGCCTCAGCCCCCGACTGCCTGAGACGGATCGCGTGTGCTCATCAACACAGACCTGAAACTGCACTCTATAGTGAATGTCCAGGATGTACGCAGCCAGATTGGGTGGCGCGCCCGCAGCCAGTAAGGCATGATGCAGCTTGGTCCACGGGACCTTGTCGAAGGCACGAGATAAATCAACAGACAACATGACGCCACCGCAGCAAGGGCTGCGGAGCGCGCCGGCGCGCTTGGCAAAGACAGAGGGCTTTTGAGCCGCCAGGAGGGACCGAACCTCAGAGACATGCGCAAAGGCAGTGTCCATAGCGCTGTCCACCCCTCGGGTTGGGAGATATGCAAATTGGGGATCCTCCATCAGGGCATCCATGGCGCTATGAAGAAGCATTTTATTCAAGGA